GTTGTGAGCGGGAGGGCTAGGCAGTTGGACGTAATTCAGGCAGTGCATGATGGACTAGCCGGAGGGCATTGGTCATCGAAAGAGACCCTTGCAAAAATCGCACCGCTTTACTTCTGGCCAGGCATGGCGGGTATGGTGGCTACGTACTGTCAAACGTGTTTGATATGTCAAGAAAGGAGTTCCGCGCGTATCTTTGAACCTCTCAGACCTACTCGGGTGCTGGGGCCCAGACATCTGGTCCACCTCGACCTTGCAGTCATGCCTGTATCGACAGACGGATACAGGTATATCCTGGATGCAAGAGACAACCTTAGTGGTTACGTAGAGGCAGTGGCTCTTAAAAGAAAGACGGGGAAGGGAATGGTCGACTGGATAGAAGACTTCTACCTAAGGCACCCCTTCATTTTGAAGGTTCATAGCGGATAATGGGACGGAGTTCGTAAATCACGAGGTGCTAAGCAGGCTTAAGATGTTGTGCATACCTATCAAGATCATCGAACCATGCCACCCTGAGGCCAATGCACCTGTAGAAAGGGGGCACCGGACCTTGAAAAACACAATCGCTAAGTTGGCGGCAAATGACTTGGGGAACTGGCCTCGGTACTTTAAGCAGGCGGTCTTCTCAGAGAACATGAGGTCGAAAAGGACGACGGGATGCATTCTTGCAGAACTCTGGTATGGAAGGGAGATTGATTTCCCCGTGGAAGCATTGGTTCCCACCTAGAACAGGCTAGATGACAATCCGCACATGTCTACGGAGGATCTAATCGCTGCACGATGCCAACAGGTCCTTAGAAATGAGGAAGCCTTGGAGGATGTGGTTAAGCGTGTGATGGATAGCTGAATGAGGGGCAAAGCAAGGTGGGACCAGGTCAAGAAGAACATCCGGAAGGAACCGCTCCAGGTGGGGGAGATGGTACTAGTTAGGAATTCGACATTGGAAAGCACATGGTCAGGACAACTGGGAAGGAGATTCAAAGGCCCCTACCGGGTCGCTAAGCGGGTGGGGC